AGTATGCAAATAATGTACCCCAAATGATACGATCGTCATATTAATACACACAAATGTGAAATATATTCATCAAAATATCATATAAACACCGAGAAAGTCACTCTGTCGTATAATAGGTGTCGACTGTATCAGCTGTCAATTGTCATACACAACCTAACCTTATGAGAGCTTAAGTAAGTTGTAAGTATTATAGTTTTTTTTTTTTATATATATAAACTATGCTACATAAGTATTAAGACATATGAGGATGTTGAGCTGCCACATGAAAAAAATAAATAAAAGAGGTGTCGAGTGTACCATCCTAAATTAAGTAAGTCACTATGGATGTAATTTGAATTCAATACGCTGAGTAGATTATAAGTCAATACCGACGACCAAGTAGAATGGTGTAAATAAGTTTGTGGGATACTGGCTTAAAATCAATCTGAAGATTTAAAAAATGTCATTGTTTATAGTAAACAATATTTATTACGTAGTGGTGAAAAGTTGTTTATCCTTATTCCGTATACGAATATAACAATATATGTTGTTAGTAACAAAATAATTAAAACATCTAAACACGAAAATGTCTGTACAAAATAAAATGCTCATAATGTATCTAAGATATTTTAAAATTTATATCAGAGCAATTCACGACAGGAATTTCGTATTTAACATTTGAACTTTTTGACCGAGCGAGAGTAACAAATTTAAAATTTCTAGAAACAGCTTAGGTAAAACTAGCAGTTAAAATATTTTTTAAACTAAATCAATTCTAGATAATACATGATCACCAAAAATAGCAAGGTTGTTCATTTTTGAATTACCACAAAATCAAAGTTTCAACCAGATCCTTAAAAAATAAAAAAAATACCTCCAGCGTTGAAAATTGAAACATTTTTATTGGTACGCAAGGTGATGACAGACACATAATACACACAATCACACGCGCACACTGTAATCGGGTTTTTATTATTATACACTGGTTTTTTTTTTCTGTTGTAAGACGAAATTAACTCGACTTGTCCTTTTACGGCGCAACGGTCGTTTATACCTAATTAGAAAAATGAAAAACCCTGCAGCAATGCCACTGAGATTTGACATTCCTCGAAAAGGATAGTACGCGAAACGGACTCGCGGGGTATGGACAACGGGTCTGGAAAATATGTAATAATAAATGATTACGATGTGAATAACGATGACTGCACTTCTAATGAACTGCAGGCAACTTGTACAACGATAGACCTGTGCTGTTATTATGACGACCAAATTGAATTTAGCAATCATAATATTACCTTTTCGTTTTTGCAACGAGCTGAGGCTATACAGTTTTGTCGGTCGCCGGAGCGCTCCGTCGCAGCTAGTACATTGTACATTATAATGGTATAATGGTCGATTACGCAACAACAACGAAAACAAAAACAAAAACAATAACAAAAACAACAACATTGGCAACAGCGATAACTGCGAAAACAAATGTAAAAACCGTAGTAATTATGATAGTAATAATAGTTTTAGTTTTTGATTGATTTCGAACCGGCCACGTGAAAGCTTTAATATCTCTGGAAGAAATTTGAATTTAAACTCGTATTGTACACTCGTGTGAGTATATTCTATACCTACCGACATCTATTCGCATGAACAATAATAATATATATTAAATAACGTCCTTTAAAAGGCTCGTAATTGGTTTTGGTCCAAGGTAGACTTTAACACAACGCCATATTAATATATTATTATAATTATAATAGTCAAATCGCTGGTTCGCGGTGTACGCGATTTTAATGGAGGTAATTGCGACGTTATGTTTTAGCCGCACTTGTACTACGGTATATTGTAACATAATGGGTCCACCGCAAGAACCGGTGGTAGTTACATGCATATCGAATTGGAATGTACATACGCTGAGTTCAAGGTTTTTGATTTTAGCCAAATTTGGTCGCATGAGACTTGTGTCCGACATTTCGGAAAACTTGCAAGACGAATCACACACACACACACACACACACACACACACACACGATAACTAGCATGTGATGGATCGCATTCGTACAATTTGCACTCGAATAAATAAAATTACGTTATTATTATGACCGAGGGATCTGGAAGTGTCACTAAGTATAAAATAATATATCTAAGTTTAATGGTTAGTAAGTAGTAACCATAGAAAGTGTCATCAATGGGTGGCTCCTTGTATCAAATTAATTTTCCTGTGAATGTACTTTTAGCACACATTCTTATTGCATTGATGATACAGATCGTATATTACTTGTAAAAAATAAAAATAAATAAAAAGTTTAATGGTACTTCATCCATTATCAACATTTAGGTACTATTTTTCCTAAGTAAAATAAAATAACCGTAACGGAGTGCATATTTACTATATTATTTTCTCGTACATTTTGGAGGATCCGGTTTATGCTTTTGATATATCATGTTATATGTTAACAATATGTATATTATGTCTCGCTGTCCTCTTTGGATTTTGTCTGAGAAAGTAAAGTGATATAATATTGTTTACAGTGAGTCCGTACAAACCAGACTGAACAATACTCTTAAAATGACTGTAAGCGGCAAGTGTATGTTGTAATATTATAACATAGTCGATATTGATTAAAACATTAACCAATATCAGCTATCGACTTGAACGATGGATAAAACATAAAACACGTTTCGTGGCAGGACGAGATATCCAACATTTTTTTATACACCGATACATCGTCGAAAGTCGAAAATCTTGATATCACATAAAACACAACTCATTGTTTAGACTGTTAAAAATAAAACAATGAAAAATAGTGAGCTCAGTTGAAACAACTTAATAAAATCTCGGACAAATAAAATATAAGGCACGAAAGTGGCAGTTAATGAATGATAGGAAATCTAAACGCAAACGCGAGAAAAAAAGACTCCGGCTGCGAGACACTTCCCCGCCCACAGATTTACCTGCCACTGTTACGTCATTATGAGACGATACATTATGCATGGCTGTTTGAAAAGCGTGGAAGGATAAAGTGGAGACAAACGATCAAATGCCGAGCGGTTCGTGATCCATTTATCAAAATAAAATAAAAACCGCACACACCGCGGCGCATCTTTACGGGACGTTTTTCATTTCAGCCTAGTCTGGGCCTTCCGATAATCCGTCACAATATATTGTCATTATTATTATTACAATGCCGTGAAGTATAAATATATAAATACAATCTATAGGTGCAAACTTTTGATCGTTCAAGCTCGTGTGCACTCGAAATCATATTGATTTTTGTACGCAAATTAATGCAATAACACAGTTTAGGTATTCAATTATACACAATATTATTACGCCGCCGAACACCGCACAATATATATATATATATATATATACCTATTTATCTAATAAGTAATAACTATATATCATTATGTCATATCCGAGATGATAATAATAATACTACGATCGGAGGTGTAACAAGTCTCTTATTGTTTGGCTATGAGGCATTAAAGTTTTTAAATCAAAATACTTAATATGTAATTGGCACTGTGGGTTTTCCTCGGTACTAATGCCTATATATTCATAAGATTGAATAAATGTTTGAAAGGCGATCTTGTCCCACTCCGTTTCTTGAATTCGATTTCGGTCAAACCATAACCGTCTAGCAGATGACAATTATTGAGGTAACTGGTAAGTCGTGTTTATAACCTTAAGTTAAAGTCAACTCATTTACAGTTATGGTTAATGGTTGCCCTAAAGTGATCCCTCTCTCTCGGGAGCTTGAAAGATTTATTTATGGTTAAATCGGGACCCTGTAGTCATAATAGACACATTTTATGCGGTCGCAGTGGTTAGCGGTTGCACAGTGGGAACGACAATAACGTCAATCAAGCGGGTGAAATATTTTCAAGCCATTTTACCTAATCCAGAGTAAAGAACACTGGTAAATGATACATATGTGCATACTATAAAATATGTACTAATAATAAATATTATAGTAAATATTATTAATAAATATTATCTTATTGGGTATACTTGCAGCTTATGTCTGAAAAAAACCTAACGGATCTTTACGCAATAATTATTATCATTATTTGCGTCGTGAAACGTTAACACGTCCGTTTTAATCCCTCCGGAGCCCATGCGCACGTCGCAATTAACATGTCGTATGCGTGATTTCATTTTTAGTTTTCATCCATGCAATTATTTTTTTTTTTTTACAAGAATATTTTTATTTTTTAAATGATGTGTTACATGCAAATAATAGTACGACGTTATATACCTACGAGTTTGAACGAAAAAAATCGTTAAAATACAGCTGTGTAGGTATCAATAGTGCCTATAGGATGGTTACGGACACTTAGAGTTGAACTATACTGTTGATGTGTGTTTTTAGTACCGTTTATGTAGTCGTGAAGGCCGATGGGAGGGGTATGTAGTGCAAATTTCAAACCGTATGAAATATAAAATGATGATTTAGAAAAAAAATTATTCACATTATTTTTGTACAAATGTTTAGGTGCCTACCTATACTATAATTTGACTTAATTTTATTCAAAACACCGTAAAATGTAATCATTTATCGACACACGAGTCAGTTAACATATTATAATAGAAGTAAATTACACGGGTAATGATAATAGTGTGCACTTGAGCACTTCGAACAGACAATTATTTGTAATCGTGATAACCGTCGTCCATCAAGCATTTTCATATTTCCATTTTTTTAAAACTCAATGATTGTGAATGATGATTAAATAATAATGAATGTTATGAAATGAAAATTTTGAAATTTTTTCTACGATTTGAAAATCGCACCAATTTCAGACTTATGAAATATAAAATGATATTTAAAAAAAAAAGCTTAACATTATTTTTGCACAAATGTTTAGTATAGTGTTAATGGACATTATTTTATTCAAAACAAATAAATTATTATTATTATTACACGTATATTATTACAGCAGCTATTATTTGTTGATTTTTTGTTAAAAAATAGTGCACACTTCGACCAAACAATTATATTTGACATTTTATATAAAAAAAATTCTTAGATTAGGTTGTACAGTTTGGTTTCCTTTAAGAAGTTGACTATGTTAATATTTGATTGGAGGTCTGGTTGTAGAGCTTCACTAAGTTGATATGGAATGGACTGTTTGGATCTTGAGTCCGCGTACTTGGAACAATCAATAATTATATGTTTGACAGTGAACTCCACACCGCATGCTTCGCAGATGGGAGGAGCTTTTATAGCCATGAGGTAGTTGTGTGTTACGAAGGTATGCCCAATTCGGAGACGATTAATAATAGTTTCGTCTTTCCTATTTAATCCAGGGTTTCTCCATACTTGGATATTATTTTTTATTGTGTTTAATTTGGTGTTTTGTTTTATCCAGAGATTTTGCCATTTATGATATAGAATTGTCTGAATAAGTTTTTTTAAATCTGTATATGTACTAAAATTTAGAATATGGGTGTCGGTAGATGATGCTGCTTTGGATGCTTCTTGATCTGCCAATTCATTGCCATCAATTCCACAGTGTCCAGGTATCCATAAAAAGGCTATTCCTATTCCTTTTTGACTTAGTTCATAGGTTTTTTCGTGGATAAGTTTAGATATATCTGATGGATTTGTAAGGTTATTTATGCCAGTTAAGCTGCTGAGAGAATCACTTAGAATTAAATATTTGTTGTGTGACGTTTATTTATTTATGATTATATTTTGTACTGCTTTAAATATGGCTAATGTTTCGGCTGTGTAAATAGAACATTCTGGGGGAAGTTTGTAGGATGAGGAGGAGTTTTCCGTTATTATAGAGATCCCAACGTTTTGGTCTGTTTTAGATGCATCGGTATAGATATGTTTGAAGTTGGAGTATTTTTGTAATGTGTTTTGAAAGACGGTTTCTGTACATAATAGAATTGGTGTTTTCTTTTTTGAATTCGGAAATTTCTAGGTTTATGTCAAAGAACGTTTTCCACTGGGGGAAACTCGGGGGTTTTGTTTTTACTAGGTTTTGTAAGTCTATGTGATATTCTTCAGCTTTTTTTTATGTTCTTGGCTAGATATTTATTTGAAGGGTTTTCGATATTTATGAGTGATCTGGCTGTGTATAGAAGAGTGTTATATGTTCTTCTTAAATCTGGTGGTAATTCGTTAGCTAAGTTTCTCAAGCTTTCAATAGGACTGGATTTGAAGGCACCTAGTACGAAACGTAATCCAGTATTGAGAGGTGTATCAAACATTTTTAAGTATTTTTGGTTGGCCGTACTAAATATAGATGAACCATATTCAGCTTTAGATCTAATTAATGCTCTATAAATCTTTAATAGTGAAGAGGTATCGCCTCCCCAGGATGTGTGTGAAATAATTTTTATTATATTGAGTTTTTGTATTAATGACGTTTTTGTGGATTTTAAATGGGGTAACCAACTGAGTTTTGAGTCGAATATCATGCCGACGATTTTGATTTTATTTTTAGTTGGAATGATTTTGTTGTTTATTTTTAACTGAGGTCCATCAGGAGATTTTTTATTTTAATGTAATAAAACTCCTAGCGATTAAGAACGATACGGCCATAATAATAAATGTTACGCAGAGAAAATTTTAAAATGTGTTGTTAAATTAAATAGTTTTTTTTATGATAAACTAATATAATAATTGAGTATCCATGTCAACCACGTGGAATACAATAATAACCATTGCAATTTCAAGATGGAGACACGCGATTTAAAAAAAAAAAATGTTATCATTAGACATAGCGGCTAAATACCTAGGGTACCTAAGATCTAAGTTTCCTTAATAATTATTCAATTTCACGGGTCTTGGATTTATTCAAGATTAGGGGAGCCGAAATGTTTAACTACTATACGAAGCTACAAACATTTTTGATATGGTGTAGTTATGCGTATAACTCATATTAAAAAAAATTAATTCCTTGCAAAGCCTAGTTCATCAATATTCAAGGTCATATTATATAGTTGTGTCGATCACATTACACGTGTATAAAACCAAATTATTAATATTTATTAATCATAAATATTAAGTATAGGTATAATATTATCATAATGATGACTCTTTAATTTTAATAAAACGAGTAGCTTAAAATAAACTTTATTTGAAAGCTACAAAATATTAAATCGATACACATTTTTCTCTTCCCTCGGAACTCACCCCATTTTATTCTTTCCTGCATGTATCCGCCACTGATTTAATTTATTGAAGATAATATTAAATAATGAAAATGCCGTGTTTTTTGTTTTCCCATTTTATCGCACAACCGCATTAGGTAACATGTACATTATTATTACAGGTTATGTTTCATTTCTGCACACGAAAACTTACACAGGTAATTATGTTTTACGCGTTCGTGTTCTACACGTACCAATTAATGTCAGATCGAGTTTGAAAATAATTTTCGTTTTCCATTTGTAAAATCGTAATGTTATGCCGTTTTTGAGCCGTTTTCGTGTCAGGTAGATGTAGACCGCTATGTAGGTAACCTAAGTATATTATAATAACAACAATAATTCTCGACCACTGAAAATAAAAGTAATATAATGCTGTAAATAAGGACTGTGTAAGTTAGCCGTTATTGTGTATGCGTCCAATTTACATTCGATCAAACCCGACGATAGCTACTGTTATATAGTGGCGCAAGTCAAAGACTGTTTACTAGAAAGAAAAAAAATTAACAATCGTCATGACATAACTACTATACTGTACACGATTTCATTTTAAAACTCGGCTGGAATTTTAACGTAGCTGTTCGCCTAAATGTATATATGCAAAGTTTAGAATTTAATGGTGTTTTCCGTACGCATGCAATATGCACATTTGCATTTTGAACTTTTTCAACTTTACAGCCGAAGAAGCGAACGAAAAAAATAATTAATTTAAAAATGCATAACAATTTATACTGCTGTTGCAGTTGTAGAGTAGTTCAGTAGTACATTATTTCAACTGTCGGGGAAGCAATGTCCCGACACTTTGGTATACTGCTTTAAATGCGCGTTGTGCACGGCACGGAATTTCTCGTTTATAGTAAAATAAAAACAATCACGTCATGTCATAAACGGCCTAGAAAAGTATTATTAAAATCGAGTCCGGATGGTGTCTTGTATTCTGAATAACAGCACATTATACTTGATATTGTATTAATAATAGTCAAGTCGGTGTTAAGCTCATCGTGACGTAACGATGACACCTATACATTAATCACCTTTTTCGTGATGAATATCTCTAGAAATGTAAACAATCAATGAAACAGCCATGGATTTTTATTAAAATTCCTAATGCAAATTATCTTAACGAATACCAATTTGTCCCTTTTAGCTCTTTTTTGAAAGATTCTAAGAGTTCTGACTGACACACGTTACAAACGCAGCTCGGCTGTTATACTTACACTTATGCACAATATTATATTATGTATGTGACTCAAAAAATTATGATCATGTAAGGTTATGTGGCTGTGAGTCAAATAAACTTACTGTGAAAAAAAGTATACGTCGTAAAATATTTCATGAACATTTCGTCTAACAACAGCAAAAAATGTTAAAGTACTATTGCTGTGGTCTAAATATGATAGTCATCGTAGGGGGAAGTGAGGAGTGCACCTAAGCAAGAAATCAAATATTTCTAAAAATAATAACATTTAACAATTATCGTACATGCATTGAAAATCGAATAATTGACAACATTGCGACTACATTTCGATTTCACTAAGATGAGGATTTTCTTTTCAAGACCCCGAAAATAACCAGTACAACACATTATTTTGACTGCTATTAATTCTCTCATAATACCGGTGGAAGTTGGTATTACGAACTGAATACCAGTTATACCATAATGGTAGGCTCACATTAACTCTTGTTCACGAAGCATGAGTTTGTGATAAAATATTATTGAATAATATTTTAATCAGTTTTTTTTTACTTTTTAATAAAATCTCTGACAAACTTTCCTCCACACATTTGTTATTTATTATTCTTATTATAATGTTATACATTTACCAAACGAACCTTTCGAACGTGTCGAGTTGCTACAGAAATCAAACGACAAAATTTCGCAACTTTTTTGCGTCTGATGACGGAAAGTTTGTCAGTTATTCATTATTATCGTGCGAAATGCTCCCACATGCCGGGTATGTGCGCTATACACATTAGAGTATACACTATGACTGAAATATGAAACGAAGGAAATCCAAAGTTTTTGTCCACCGCAAAACGCATTTCCTACGACCAATGGCAAACTGCAACTAATAATACACGTGTGAACGAGCGCCAAATCGTCGCTTATATCACATAATGATATTCCAAGCGAACTTTTTACGGTTAAAATAATATCGAATTCAGTAAAAATACATAAATGTATGACGCACTGTAGTTTTGGGTAGGTTACTAGATAAATTGTGACCAGATATAAGTTGCAAGTTATCATCTAAAATAATTGTCTAAACACAATATTTTACAAGTTATTTTTTTAAAAAAATAATATTTTTTTAGATATTATCTTAGTACAAAATACACGTTTTTCGTACCACAGTATACATATAGTTACCACAAAAAATATACAAGTCATTACTTGAAAAATAAAAATTTAATTAAGTTTCAAAATAAATGCAGTCTAGAGAGAATATGTTGGTGCAGGTATTTCATTAATTGTTATGAAATAAAAAAAAAGGATTAAACTATACTTATAATGAAATTGATTAAGACTCGGTTACTGGACAAATAACAATTAATACTACGGACTGCAGTCCCAACATTATAACAACTGGAATTTTATTATTATATTATTATTTACTATCATATTTATATGGTGACATTTTATAGTGTATACATATAATTATTAGGTATGTTGATTGTCGATTGAAGAATATAGATAGGTGCTGATGATTAGAGCGACTGACAATTTTAATGGGTAACCTAATATCTTAGCTTAGTGTGTAAAATACTAAAATACCAGAGTGATGTCAATATTAAATATAATAAAAAATATTATATATTACTAAGGAATCTTGTAGATATTGATTGCAATAGTTTTTTACAAAAAAGTATAGATAAACTCATGACAGAAGTTATAATTAATATGTAACTCAGATAAGTATCTATTACGGGCACGTGTCTTACAATGTCCAGTCCCGACGAGCGATGACACACGTATTGTCTACTATAATATTATTATGTTTAACTCGTTACATTGTGTGTGTGTATTTTCTATAATATAATTAGTTTAAAGTTGTTCGAGAAGTATGTCGAACTCTAAGATATATACTATTTAAATTTTAGTTTCTGCAGTTATGTAAGTTGAATATTTTATGCTCTACATTTATCTTCTTTGTATATTATGTTTAAAAAAATAATTGATAAAAACAGATCCTCCAGCACAAGCTCAGCGTTTATGGGGTGCTACAATAAAACTGTAAACCGTTTTGAATATCGTACGGCGAATTGATTATCATTGTTCTAAAAATAAATATTATTATCGTTACAATATAATATCATGACGTATGTTTGGTAAACGGTAACCGACCACCGACGTAGCATAATATAATCGAGACCAGGTCAACGATTGCATTTGATTTCCTTCTTTTTAATGACTTAATATTTTATAACGTATGCCGGAAAAACCACCGGATCGGGAAGTCAGGCACTCATGAAGTTCTATTCCATTCACACTCGCTGAAAGGGCTATCAATTGGTGTGTGATAACCACAGAATTGTTTATATTTTAACGGTTATTTGTTTTTGACAAATGCGCCAAAGGCAAATATGCACCTTTAAGATTATCTTTAATTATTTCGCAGATTAAAATTAAAATACAACACGGCGATGTGCAGGTTTTACATGACGTAACAATAATATATTTTAATAACATGTTATTCACTCTCGACGACACAATTATAATATTATATTTATTTATAATTTACTACACCTATTATTTTCGCGTACAGAAGCGTATCGTTTAAATCTCTAACCTTGGCTTCCTCCCCCACCGGAAATTTGAAACCTTGCATTTAACACAATAGGTTAAGTATACGTTATATTACAATGATTACAATTTTAATTTTTTTTCTGAAAATAATAGAATTCATAAAATCTTGGTGTTTCATTTTTAGAAAATATGTAATAAATATTTAAGCAAGTAAGGAAACCCATTAAGTGAGTGTGCTTAATTTCCGAGGTTTCTAAACATATTTCAAACAACTAATAGCTATAATTCCATACTATGATACAATTTTAAAATAATTTGACAGCTTGGTTTATATTGTTATACGTAAAGACCTATGCAAATCAAACATCCTTATTTTGTAGTTATTTCACAGGACATTTTTTAATTCTTATTGTTCTTAAATTGTAAACATGTAACTGACAATTTTGCTTTTGGCATATTTTATTACGTAATTAATATTCAAAGCTAACATTGCATACCACATTGAATAGTAAATTATTTTATAGCTATTCTGTTATAAGTAATTGAAAAAACCTCACTTTATCAAGAATTAAAAATATCAAAATATTACAATGAAATATAATTTCATACTAGCCAATAATAAAAAGCATTGGAAAACGTACAGAGACCGATTACTGTGAATTCGTTATAAAACCACATAGTTATAATTAAATATTTCATGTAAAATTATAATAAATAGAGCTGTGTAGCTATAGATTTTAAAATCGTATTGTTTAGCATTTTGTAATCAAGCCACATTTTGTTAATCGTAGAAATTATCTCGAGTGTACAGAGTAAGATATACTACGATGAACAAAATTATATCGATTTTATATTTGGGGAAAATACGTTGCTATAAGCATTATTATCATATGGACTACAGTTTGACGTTTGATTAAGATGCATCCTCGCAATCGTTGAATGGTTGCTATTGGAATAATTTATCTTTTGAAAAAAAAAAAATGGAATATCTGGCTACTGCGCCCACGGTGTATGCGAAAATCCAAGTATCCAAAACCACTGTCCTTATAAGTGTACGAAAGTAACGAGGACTCGAAAATTCCAAGAATAAGAATTTAAATAAATGCGCTAGGTATTGAAGTACCCGTGAGAAATACGAGTGGGAGTGAATCGCTCTGTGCCCACCCATAATAGTGCATAATGTACCATGTAGACACTCGATGGCCAGAACATCGGGACACGTGCGATTTGCGAGTATAAACAT